CTTTGAGTCTGGGCTCTGCCCATTGTCCATACTATATTTATTCTACGTATTTTTCGATGTATTAATAAAGCTGGCCCCGGTGGCTGAATTATAATATAATTTTGTGCGATATGTCCGAAATACGATTATCCCAGATATAGAACGACGCATTATCGGTTGTCTCATCTTGATTGGTTGATCGTCGTATATATATGCCCCTTACCAATCAACGATTAATTACCACCACACCCATGCTTCTTTTTTAACGCGAAAGTGAACGCTATTCTTCTCTTGCATAGCAAGGCCAGTTCTCTTTTTGACGATGGGATTTAGATACGTCAGAGATTCTAGACAATACCCAATCGATTGTAGATAGGCTTAATATTGCTGGTTCCGTTAAAAAACATGACAAGAAACTGCTGAAATACTCACTTTCTAGATTACCGCCTCGAAATTTCTCAAAACCAAAAAATCACCGGCGAAGTTATATTGGTAAGGGTATATAAGATTGGTGTGAAGTATCTATATTATGATAAAATATATTGTATTAACACCTTGTGCTTGCTTCGCTAATATATGCTCTTTATTAAAGATCTGGAACCAGCGAGGCGGGGATTACCAGCGCAGTATAAGAAATAACATTATAAATGCTCATCTCGATGGATTTTAATTACGATTTATTTTCCATATCACCATGTAATTTTTATACCTTGTATATAACATGTAAATATATCAGTGAAGTTGGCATGGTCAATAATTGGTTAAATAAAGGGATATTCATGTGTAGGCCGTAAAGCCATTGCTTTGCAATAAATAATGGAAAAAAATACTTATCTGATCGTTATACTTTAATAAACTAGCCCATAGGGTCTTTTGTTTTTTAACTATGTAATTGACCATGTGTATGTGCTGGCATTAAGTATCGAAAAATAAAGTTATTAAAATTGCTAATATTGAATATCGATGTGCATATATTGGTTTGACGAATATGCGGAGCATAGAGTCAGAGACTCATATCAATTATCTCGACATTTTTCAGATCCAGAGTTCATGGATTCAGCCGACGATGCATTTTTTATTTTGCGTTTTTGCCGTAACTCTATCTCTTTCTGCAAATCTAATGGAGTATCGAATCTTAATCGAATTGCAAGTTCATCATTCTCAGGTTTATCTAGATCAAATACAATGAACTCACCCTTACGTAGATAACTATTAATAACCATTGAAGCATTTTTCACATCATCAGTATATCGACCAACAATTTTGGAAACGTCTTGGGGAGAACTGCCACCATTAAACATTAGTAAGTGTGAAATATTCTCCCGAATAATTACTGGGACATGATGATATTTTTATCAGTTTATTAATGATAGGAATAATTTAAGAGCGGATGGTTGATCCCATATTTCATAATTTATTTTAATGTATTAACATTTTACATTATATTTCACTTTGTATTTTAGGAATGACCTATTTTGGTGTAATACCTTTACAAGTTAGCAAGTAATAAAATAGTTATGAATGAGGATCTCCAAATCAAATGCTATTGAAGGAAAAAATAAAAACATGTACTAAAATAATCAGTATTGTGTAGCCGGAGAAGAGGTATTAAAAACAAATAAGTCAAGGCCAGGAACTGCGCACTGGAGCCACCCGACTAAATGTTGGGCTTGGGCCACCCGGTCACGACCATTAAAGACCCACACATAAGTTGTATTTGCGAAATTGACTAGTTGAGGATGCGGTGAACCAACTGGTGGGTAATTATTAATACCAAAATTGGGAGTTGGTCCCCCACCAACGTCGGCAACTACATAAGTAGGGTCTACCAACCCGCGGATTTTATCGTGTTCGTTCAAGTATGCATCAAAGTCAGGGCTGATCATATTAAACGCGCAAGCTCCATCATAGTTGTCTCCTCTCCCGTCAATCCAAGGACGTCCGGCGAGAAGCTTAATAATCGGCATAAGATCCTTATCATTCCAATGATTAGGTGATTTTTTTGACAGCTCTTTTACAGGTTCCAACAGAAGTTTACCTGAAAGTATAAAGTGATAAGTTTAAACATGAAAATTCTGTTTTATAGAATATTTAGAGATAAAAGCAATACCTTCTAGAGGTACTGGATTTGGTATGGCTGTACAAAAAAAATCAGCTTCATCTGCTTCTTCTTCAAATTTATCGCGCCAGTCTTGATACGCAACATCGATCTGCGCTTCGATATCTAGAGTCTTATCTTTCTTAGTAGTTCTTGTTTCTTTCTTTTGGACTACATTTTTCCTGTTTCTCCTCTGCGCTTTTCCAAAAATCGCTCTAAATAAAAAATTGTATTAGGGCACGAAAGAGAAACAGGTACGTTATAATCAGCCAGCTTACTTTGCACCAGAAATCATTTTTTGTAAAATTCAAGTTATGTGGTAAAACTGAAAGAGTTATACTCGACGCGTACGTAAATTTATTGCATCACGCGGTGAATCTGTTACACATATCACGTGAACTAAGCTATTGTGATCCCCCAAACTACAGTATACACAAAATCTTGTCAGGAGATAGACGGACATGTCCATCGACTGATAACTAGGGATTCGCATTTTATCCGATCCAATGTGATCCGAGTCTTAAGAATAGTTTCGGGAATACTTGTCTTGCTTTCATATCCGGTGAATCTAAATTTTTGAAATGTGATAGTGAAAAACCGATGTGATTAGTATAGAAACATCATTTTGCTTAATTTGTTTGGTTGCCCACATTTGGTTCATAATTTTTAGCATGTACAGTATATTGTGTGTGTCTGGGGAATTTTTATTAAATTTTTCATGTAATTCCACATGAACAAGATTATAGTCGAAAAAATAATGGTGAATCGCAAAAGCATTTAAAGTTTTAGGTTTACTCAATAAGATCTAATTCTCGAAGATGCTCTGGAATAACTACATATGGGTCTTCATAATACCAGACATACCTTAAAGCAATCCAATTCTCTTCGCACAATTCTTTCTTGAGTTGATCCCGTGCTAGCTGTTTGATAAAATTATTGGAATCTCTTCCATGAAAGAATTCGTGATATTTTTCGTGTTGTATGCCTTGTACTTCGATTGCAAAGCCATGTTGCGGATAAAATATATCAAGTTCTAGTCCATTTGGATATTCTTGCGTCTTTAAGAAATCGGGTCTGCGGATTGGTGAAGGGACACCAAGATACTTTGTTAAAATCTCATGACACAGCTTTTCTCTATTATATTTTGGGCAGAATGGACACCACGAGTTTGAACGTTTAACGTTATCAAAAGTAGCAAACCATCTATGCTTTTTATCACACATCCATAATAAAGC